GGATCTGGAGCTGGGATTTGAACCCAAGTCACAGGGCTCCAAAGCTGATAAGATTTCTCCACTCAACCATGCAGCCCCCCTGCAATAATAATAGATAACATTTGTGAAGGCTTAATAGGTATCAGGCGCCTTATTTGCACTATCTAATTTGGTCTTCATAACAACCTCATAACAGATGAGAAAATGGAGACACAGAGGGGCACATGCAAGTTATTTAACTCGCCCAAGTTGGAACAACTAATAAGTGGCCAAATTTAATCCAAGCATTCTGACTCGAAAGGCTGTGCATATAATAACTTTGCTCTGCTGACTCTGTAAGTTTTCCATAAATACTAGCTGAATCGATAGATGGGTGGTTGCAAGAACAATATTTCTAAGAATTGGCTTCTGCAGCCCCGAGATCCAAGCATCACCAGGCCAAACACCCAGATGGTGATTTTCCACTGAAGCTGAGGATCAGAGTTGTAGTGCGGCTGGCTCCTACCCTAGCTAGCCTGTTTCTGTAGCCTGATCCTTTCAGGGCAGGTGGGCATCAAAGGCTGCAGGGACTGGGTAGGACCGGCCTACAGCCCCCTCATTGGCCTGGCCCCATCAAAGGCACCTGTGCCAAGCTCTGCTCCACTCCAAGCCTGGGCAGATCAAAGGGCCCCACACAGAATTTGGGTTTCTGGGCAGCTCCAGTTCTGATCATCAATTGTCACTTTGGCAGTGACAGCAGAGTCCAACATGACAAGACTGCCACAGCCAAGGCTCCTGGGGCAGACATCAGAGCACAACTCCAAAGGCCAGGAAGCTGTCTGAGGCCCCTCTGGGCCTGCACCCCTGGTGGGAAGAGAGGGAGGAAACAGAGAGGCCCCTAAGGAAAATTTCTGGAGCAAGATCACTAGAGTAATGTTGATGCAGGCAAGAAACCTGATCTCGGCATTTATATTCTTGCCTTGGAACCATGATGTCTGATAACTTCATGTAGCTGGGAAGAACTGTTGACATGCCCACATGTGTTCATTCTCATGCACACACATGCACAAACCTAAATAAATTCACACACCTGAACCACTTGCGCAGACATTATAAACATATCCCTACACATAAAGATTCTCACACAAACACAAACAAAATTACTCGTGTACACATTCTCCTAATACTCATCATACTTGCCTACACACGTGTATAGATATATACACACAGCACTATACATACTTACAGATGCAAATACATAACCACACACATATACATGCTTGCTTAGTCACTGGGCATACATTTTGTAATATATTCTGCCAGTTTCCAGGGTCTAATGCTCACATTTTCCTCTCAAAATGATGAGAATCATCCTCATAAACAGGCTTTAAGTGCAGGAATAGCCTATCACATAGATCCGGCTGCCAGTCATTCTCCCACTCCTCTGCAGAAAAATCTAGACGAAATGCCCCAAACTGTACCACAAAGGATTTATATTAGCTCTTCGAAGGGATTTCCTGCCAATAAGAGCAATTAAAAATATCAGCATGCTAGAATTCTGTTTATTGAGGAATATTTGGTTGCCAGAAATTTGAACCAATTGGAATATCAATTTTGCCTCAGTTGTATGCTCTGAATGAATATATGTTCTGAATCAATAATTTTTTGAAAAAATATAGTGGCCTAGCTATAAATCAGAGGAATTTGTTATAATTTGGGGAGCTGAGGATGCTTTAGCTTAAATGGCAATTAACATCAGAGTTCAGTTTCACTGAAGATTTAACAAATGAGCCTAATTAGGGTATTTGAGTTAGGGTAGTGTTCAAGCACCTTCTTGCTTATGATAAAATCACATAATTGAGAAAAGTAGCATGGGGTGCTTTGAAACCACCATAGGTATTGTCTCCTCCAGGAAGTCCTCCCTGACCCTTCCCTGCCTAGACTGGAGTGGGCATTTGCAGTGGACAGTGTGTGTGGTGTGCCACCCAGTCACCCTTTAGGACCCAGGCTCTCACTCCCTGGGCTGCCAGTAGTATTGGGTGCTATTGAGTCACAGGAGAATCTCTCTCCAGGAATTGCTCAGCAAAAAGAAGCCACCTCACCCATGGTTATGCCTCATCCCTGGGGCAGTGTCCCACTAATAATGGCTGGTTGATGTGGGGCTACAAAGGTGGGACAATTAGAAAGGGTTGTTCCACTTCCCAAGCTTCCTGTGTGGTCGGCTGCAGCCTCTGTTGTAACTGCATCCCAGCACAAGTTCTTCCTCTCTGGGCTGCATTCACTCCTTCAAAGGTGTTGTTTCTAAGAATGCACCCCAACAAAACTCCTGCACTCAAATCTTAAAAGGCTTAGAAACTGTCTCCCAGTAAACCTGTCCAATGGCAGCATCTTTCCTCAGTGTGCCCATATTTTTGTGTATTCCTCTCCTTTTGTCACAGCCAATATCTAAATGTCAGCAAATGTATTAAAGAAATATCCCTAATCTCATCTCTCATTTCCTCCTTGGCTACTGCTCTGGTACCAGGCACCATGACCTCTCCCCTGGCCAATTTGCAATAATCTCCAAACTGGCTGCTCTACTTCCCCTCTTAACTTTCACAGTCTATTCACGGCACAGTTACAGGGTAACCTTGTCAAAACATCATTTAGTCACATGAGTTCTTTGCTCAAAATCTTTTCGTGGCTTCCAATCTTTTAAAAAAACATCCAGAGTCCTTACCGTCCCTGCTGGACCTCCATCTCCATGACCTGGCCCTTTTCTCTCTCTATGCCTTCCTCTGCTCCTTCATCCTCCCTCATTCATTCCCCTCCAGCCCTGCTGCCTTTCCTGCTGTTCTTTCAACACACAAGGCCTGCTCCTGCCTCAGGATCTTTGCACTTGTTGTTCCTCCTCCCTGGACTCCTGGGACTTATTCCTTCAACACATTTAATTTTCTCCCACAGTAATTGGTACTCTTGATTCAGCTCTATATGACATGACCCAGCACAGACTACCCTGGCAGATGGTGGCTGATTCTAGGCAAGGCGATAAAACTCATGAGAAAATAAACAATACCTGAATGAGACACAGAAAACATCTCTCTTCCTTTTCATCCAGATTTTACCAGTCGCCAAAACATCTGGATTCTGAACCTCGAAGCTCTCTCTAATCTACTCCCTCATTGTGTCCCCTACTGCCATTGTCATGATCCAGACCTTCAGATATCCTGTATGTATAACAGAATAATACTTTGAAATATTAACCCCAGTGCTTTTGTTCCCGTTATGATTTCTACACATCCATGGTCTTTCTTGCATTAAAACTAGAACATAAAGCATGAGCATCCATTGGCTCAGAGAAAGGTAGCTATAATAGAAATACAAAGAGAAACAAGCAAATTAATTATTGAGGCAACAGACAAAATACTAGCCTGAAAAATAGACTAGAAAGAATACTTATATAAAGCATAAAGTTTAAAGAGCTGATAGAATTGGCAGATAGAGAGAAAATTAATCAAGTGAATACCTGTGTGGACCTCTGAGAAGGGTATCTGTCCCCTGCCTGACTAGGCTGAGCCCAAAGTTGGGAAGCAGGGAATAGTTCTCTCCTTTATTTCAAGGATCTGAAAACAAAGAGAGCCTGTACTCCACTTTTCATCTCCAGAAGTCTCCTGTTAGCTGCCAGGGAACAGAACAGGAAGGTTAGGTGTAGTTGCTTCGGACATCTAGGCTTAGGGCTTAATTCAGACCTATTGTGTTTCCCACAAAGCATAGCTGGAGGGTCCTCAGAAAAGTAGAGTCTAGATGTCCCTGCCTAGAAAATGAAAAGGCCACATGATGATCTTAGTGAAAAAGTGACCAGGAGGATGCTGGATGTCACAGTATGAATAGATGATAGTTCTAGCCAGCCCCCAACTCCAACTCTTATTCATCCTCATTCCATGGCTTGATGCTGTATAATCCCTTCCTCATGTAGAACTTAGATGCTACCATGGGGAGAAGGAGGAGATGGAGAAATACTGGAACTAAGATTAAATATCCACCAACACTGGTCTTGGCTTCAAGTTTATAGAAAATTCGCTTCCTTTTTGCACACCTGATCTTGTGGGTTAGGAGATTATACCAGCTACCTGAAACTACTGCAATACAGTCCTAACTGGTTCCTCAAACACTACTTCTAGCTCCTCCAGTCTATCCCCAGCAACCAGAGGGAACTTTTGAAAACATGGATATAACCACACCTTTACTGGTGAGAAATCAGGCTTTCAAGTAGGCAGATCTGTGTTCACATCCCAGCTCTGCCACATGTCAACTGTGTGACCTCAGGCAAGTTACCCAACCTTTGTTAGCCTCATTTCGCTCATTCCATTATGAAATTGAAGAATCCCAGGGCCACCACAGTGAATGCCATTGCGATTCCATGAGATGATGGAGGTCCTGCCTGGCACAGATTAGATGTTCAGTTAATATTGGCTGGTCCTTACTGTATCATGGTGTTAATCACCTCGTTAGCTTTGTGCATGTGCTCCTCCTCTCCCTCTTCCCAAAAGAAAATCAGAAACCATCTTCTCTATCAATTTATTCCTTGATGCATAAGCTGGGCTGCCTTCCTCTGTCCTCACAGGGTAAGTTTAGGGATTTCTCAGTGGTATACCTTCAGTCTTCCAAGCTCCGCTTAATCATAGCATTCATGACATGTCATCTGATGACTTTGTATTCTTCAAAGGCCAGAAATAATGCTTGATCTCTGGGCCTCCTTTTAACCTTGAGTACCCCTTACCCTGGCGAGTGCCCAAGGGGCAAGAGAAAGCTCTTCTTAAAGGGAATGGGTAGGGGAGGGGTCAGAGGTCAGGTGGAGGAAGAAGTGAGCTTGCAGTCTTGCCCATGATTCCTATAAGAGTCCTCCAGTCTGACCCATAGGCCTAAGGCAGACTGGATCCCAGCAGGCTGGGACACAGGGTTTCCAGGTCAACTTTTATCTTCCCACATGGTACATGTCCCTTTGATCCTTGAGCAGATCAAACAAAGCTCACTAATCAATGGTTTCCCTCTCTGCCTTTCAGAGCAGATCCTCAAACACAGCCTGTATCTCTCCCTGTTCCCCTCCCCACCCTCCAGTTTTCCAGCCAGCATCATTTGCTCTAAGGCCCAGACTGTGGCCCACCTATCACGGCTACCCAAGTAGTATAGGTATGATGGTCTGTTTAATTTCTTTAATTCAAATAGCACTAGAGAAATTTCAGGACTCACTCACTGACACATCCTGGTTACTTACCTCTTGTCTAGGCCCTAGGGAAAGGGTGTATTGTTGCATCTACTATGATTGCCTGGTTTTCTTGGTCTTGGAAGCACCTAGTAATGAAAGGACCCAGAGAAAGATAAACAGGGCCAAGGAAGCCAATATGAATTTTTCTGAGCCTATTTCTTCCTTTATATAACTGGAATATTGTTTCCTCCCCCACCTACCTCTCAAGGCTGAAGTGAGGATTAAGCAAGTTAATGGCTCTCAAAGTCCACTGAGAAGGATGGAGTTCTAGATACATATTAGGTTCCTCTAGTCCTTACATATTGCAAAAGACCTGGGTAAGGCTTCAGAAAGAACTAGGGTGACCAATCTTCCTGGCTTGCCCAGGACTGAGGGACTCCTTGGGACGCCGGAATTTCTGTACTAAAGCCAGGAAAATCCAAGGCAAACTGAGATGAGTTGGTCACCCTACATAGAAGTAGCACTTAACAGTGTCTATGCTGGGCTACATGGTGTTCCTCCAAAACTCATATGTTGAAGCCCCAATACTTTAGAAAATAACTGTATTTGAAGATGGGCCCTTGAAACAGGTGATTAAGTTAAAAGGAGGCCATTGGAGTAGGCTCTAATCCAATTTGACTGGTGTCCTTACAGGAAGAGGAAATTTGAAGAGAAAAGGAGGCACCTGGGATGAGCACACAGTGAGAAAAGACAATGTGAAAGCATGGCAAGAAGACAGCCAGCTGCAAGCCAAGGAGAGAGGCCTCAGAGAAAACCAACCCTGCCGACCCCTTGACTTCGGACTTCTACTCTCCAGAATTATGATAAAATAAATTCCTGTTGGTTAAGCCACCCAGTCTGTAGTATTTTGTTATGGCAGCCCTGAGCAAACTAATACAGTATCCTTGAAGAAAGAAGAATTATAAAAGCTCACAGTTAGGAGCAGTACATTGACATATTAGTAACTCATTTAGTCTTTTCTTCACAGGAACTCTCTATGAGAGGTATTATCATTGATCCCCATTTTAAAGAGGAGAAAACTGAGGCACAAGGTCAAGTAACCTGCTTCAGAGTCGTAACTAGTAAAGGACAGAGACAGTTTCTTAACCCTTAGTCCTCTAGAAAGCAAAGCCCAAGGCTAAAGTGCTGACATTCAGGAGAAGCAAAACCAAGGCCTTGAGGATAAGGCCCAGGGGTGGTGAGAATGAGTTGAAAAGGGAAATGAGGCAAGAAAAGATGCAATGTGACGCACAGCAGCTGGCTGTCACCTCCCTGTGATCCTCCCTGAGACACAGCAGCTTGCTGGGTAGGTAAGCTGCAGCACTTAGAATTTCTCTGGATCATTTGCAAGGAGAAACCACCTTTAAGGCTGGTGGAGAAAGGAAGGGGAGAGAAGGGAAGGAGCTGTGGAATTAAGTTTGCTTACAGCTGCCTCCATATATATTATAAGTTTGGCCTAAAGGTTTCTCCATACATAGTGAATTGTAAACGAACTTTATGTGTAAATAAACTGTAACCTACTCTTGTAACAAGTAGCAGAGTCTCAGCCAACCGCAGGCAGCTGGCTGTTCAAAGCAGGTTCAAATAAGGCAAAGGCCCAGCTGTAACCAATCCAGCTGTTTCTGTACCTCACTTCTGGTTTCGCTAGGTCACTTTCCTTTTTCTGTCCATAAATATTCGACCATGTGGAGTAGCTCTGAACCTATTCTGGTTCTGGGGGCTGGCTGATTCGCAAATCGTTCTTTGCCCAATTAAACTCTGTAAAGTTTAATTTGTCTAAAGTTTTTTCTTTTAACTGGGTATTTATGTATTTGGCTCCTTCTTTTTCCCTTTCCCTTTCTGGCTGGTCAGGGTGCCCCCATGGGAAGCTAACTCCCCTGCACTTCCATCATCCAAGGCCCACACCTAATGTCTTTGGAACTTACAGCAAGGATACCAAGGAAGGCTGCTGTAGAAGAGCTGTGTTTCCCAGAAGTCACATGTTGATGCTTTAACCCCTAATGTGATGGTATTTGGAAGCAGGGCCTTTGGGAGTAATTAGGTCATGAGGATGCGTCCTTCAGGTTAGGATTAGCATTCTTATCAAAAGAGACTCCCCTCCTGCCTTCTGCCATGTGAGGACACTGCAAAAATGTGGCCACAGCAAGGAGAGTCCTCAGCAAATTTGAATTAGCCAGCACCTTGATCTTGAACTCCACAGCCTCCAGAACTATGAACAATAAATCTCTATTGTTCATAAATTACTCCATGTATGATATTTTGTTGTGGCAGCCAAAACTGATTAAAACACAGCCCAACCTAACTAGAATCCCAAACAGTATATATCTAAACATTGAAATGTTACACATCAAGAAAACAAACATGATTAACTTCTAGAATGTTTTCACTCTTTCATGTTATCAAACGCAATTTTGTAATGACCTGAAAGGCCATATTACCCAGTGTTTACCTGGAGATAGGCATTCTGGGGTGTCCATGAGAGGCACTTCTCAAAACTTTGAACTTAGCCATCCCTCCTGTCTGGTGAATTGTGTCTTCACTCCTCAGAGCAGGGCCTTGTCTTTTTCTTAGGAGGATAATCATAAAAGTAATAAATAAAGAAAGGTGAACATATACCAAAGCATGTGGTATATGTTCATATAAGACATACTCAGAAATATTGTCAGCTTAAGCTGAAGAATAAGAAAACTGAGGCTCAGAGAAGGGAATAGTAAGGTGGAGGTGACAGAGCCCAGGGTTTGACTCCGGAATCCAAGTGTATTTTAATTACAGCACATTGAGGCTATCCATAATGGCACTAAATTATGTCCGTTCATTTGGACAGGCATTTATTAAGAGTGTTTCTGTGCCAGGCATCGATTAGCTGCCAGGTTACAGATGTGGACAAGATCCATATCTGCTGGAGTTGCTCACAGGCCGCGGGGGAAATGGGCAGGTGAAAGGAGCAGTTGAGCAGTGCCAGCAATAAAGGCTGCAGGGCACGCAGTGAGGACCCAGAGGATGGTCACCAGGAGATGATGACATTTAACCTGCAAGGCTGAGTGGGAAGCAACAAAGAAGAGAAGAAAGAAGGCCCTAGCAAGCAGGAGAAACAGAGTGTAAGCAGGTCAGGAGAAGTGAGGAGCAGCCTGATCCTGGAGGTGCTTGAATTCCTGTGAACTTGGAGCATAGTGAAGGTTTGAGGGTGTGATTAACAGGCCTATGAAAGCCTGGCTAGATATGAGGGGAACCCCTGTCAGATTTTGAGCCAGGAAATGACCAGATCAGAGTTGAATTATAAATCTGAATCAATCATGCACCTTTCACTTTGTACTAAAATGACTTCTTCCTTTGTCTCTGTTCCCAGACCCTGTCTTGGAGCTCCTTGGGGACACGTTGTATTCACATGATTCACACGATTCCCCCAGTGCCCTGTATAGTGCCTGGTATTCATTTGCTAAATGAGTGAATGAATGAATGAATGAATGAATGAACAGACTCTGCTACCTGGTTGTATTCTGCTATTTTGGCTTCCTTCTTTTTTCCTGCACTGTTCCTGATTTTAGTTGAGGATTAAACGTGGGCTCTGCACACAGGCCCTAAGGCTGTGAGTCTGTGTGTGTATGTTTTACATCAGCCAAACCAAATAAACAAACACATGGCAGAACCCCAGGCGTGCGACTCCCTCACTTGGCACAGCCAGCTGGCACGTGGCTGCCCCTCCCCAGCTTCCCAGCACCTCCCCCTGGAGTCAGGATGCTGCCTAGAGGCTTGATTGTGGATTTGAGAACCCCTCCCTACTTCCACTGCAGCAGCAGCAGGACTCCAGGCACATGCTGATAGCCTCCATTTTAATTACTAAGAATTTAAACCCACTTCTGTCTTCACACTCTTCTGAGAATTGGTTGGTAGCCCCTATGACAAAGACGACTCTTCTAACAGAACAATGACCACCGGGGAGAAGACAGGAGGATGACCCAACCCTCACCCTCCAAGTATGTTTCCTGCTCCAACTGGGCTAACTGTCCCTTCTTACTGATTGATCCAAGTAAACTCTAGAGTTGGGTGCATTCTGGGAAACTCTAGAGGTTACCTGGATCAGTCAGTGCGCAGCTCTTCAAGCGTCCCAAATCAAAATTAATGCTCTCAGTACTCATCTCTACCTCACCTGCTGAGGTCTTCCTGAATTTCCCAAAATCAGTAGGTGACAGCCCATTTCCAAGGGTGCCAGTCATAAAGGGAGCCTAATTCTAGGCTACTTCCTTTTCCTCACACCAGTCATATTCACCGGGCATGGACTAGTTTACTGCCAAACAGCTTTACCTGTCTGCATCTACCCTTCCATCCTATCTGCTGCTACTGTCCTATTTCATCTTCTCATCTCTCTGGAGTTTTGTGAAACTGCCTCCTATTGGTCTCATTGACTCCAGTATCTTCTTTCTCTAATCTTTTCAGCCACCATATTGATCTTTCTATACTATTGATTTCACCTGGCCACTCTCTTGCCAAAAAACAAAGGAAAAAACCTCAAATGGTTAGGAGAGCAGACATCATGCATTGTTCTTCAATCATCATTCTTCAATGGTAATATAACTTTGACATTTTAGGTGGCTATTAACAACAAAAATTATTTCTTCCAACCTCCTCTGAGCAAGGTGTGGCCATGTGACTTAATCCTGTTATAATAAATAGGATTTACATAGAAATGGAGTATGCAACTTTACGCAGTGTCCTCAAAGAGTGATAATGTGCCCTTTACCTTCTTTCTTCCTTTCTGCAGGATGGAATACAGATGTGATGGCTGGAGCTGGAGTAATCATTTTGGGTCATAAATGGTGTTAGCAGTGGAGGTCATGCACAGCAAGATGGAAACAAACTATGGAACACCATGCAAAGACTGGCTGTTTCTTTCAAACTTTCACATGAGAAAGAAAGAAACTTCGGTTCTTGTTAAGCCGCTGGTATGTCAGGATTTTCTAACACTCCAGTTGATTGTAATTTTAATTAATTATCACCTACAGCAGGGGCTACAACACAAATGCCACCAGGAGCCAAATAGGCAACGTAATTTAGTGCTGCCTACAGATAGCCAGAGACTAGAAATGTGTTTATTATTCATTCATTTTACTTATTTAGTCATTCATTTTTTTCATTTAACAAGTATTTACAAAGCTGTATTATGTACCAGGCACTCATAGGTATTGAGAAGGAAAAGATAAATGGGCTCGGTCCTTTCATAGAGAAGATCTAGGTCTGGTTGGGGAAGACAACATTTTAAATAGATAAATATAGTAAAGTGCTATGAGACTGTAGTAGCTGACCTTACAAATAGCAATAGAAGCAAAAAAGGGAGTGAAGTCCATTCTTAAATCTGAAGACAAAAACTTCATGAAAGAGATAACCTCCTTCTCAGAAAATAGGTAAAGAAGGGAATTCTGGATAAGCAAAGGTTAGGAGGATTTGATTTCCCAATGTTGCAATTCCTTTCCCTTTTGGATAATTGCCAATAATTTTGCAGAATACAGCCCAAGTGGGCTTCTCCTTCACTCTCCCTCCTGCCCAATACGTCCTGCCTTCCAGAAGACAACAGGGAATGGCATAATTGCAGCCTGAGGAGCACTAGGATTTGGTTGGGGTTAGTTCTTCAGCCTTTATTCTCACTGAGTACTTCACTGGATCTGATAGTACTGGGAAATCATAGCTCCCTCTTGACAGCACCACACAATGCACTAGCAGACCTGATGTTTGGGGTCTGCAGGCATGTCCAAGAGTCTGACACATAGTAGGTGCTTAGTTGAATTTTGATGAAAAGAAGTCTTCCTGAGGGTTTTTGTCTCTCTGCTCCAACACCTCAAGTCCTAGAATTTTCAGTG